TGGCGGGCCAGTGCGCCGCGCGACCCCGCCCGCACTCCACGCGCTATGAGCGCGCTCCGGCCGCGCGCCCGCCGCGCGCCGCTGCTGCTCGCGCTGGCCGCCGCTCTGTTGCCGCACGCCGACCGAGTCGCGTGAGTACCTAGCGTCTGCTGCCTGCTCCGTCTCTCAGCACCTATCACATGTGTGGTTTTCCTTCTGTGGCAGCGGCGGCGGCGGCGGCGGGAGCATGTTCGGGGACGTCAATATATCCTCTATTCTGGACTCCTTCAGCATAAGTTACGATAAGAGGGTTCGGCCAAACTATGGAGGTTAGTACCTAGTTATTTAGGTACCTAACAAAGTCAATTCTTTGGCAATAAGAAGCGCGTTGTCCAAATGTCCTCTTCGACTGATCGCCCTTATCCAGACGCCAATAATGACTATAATGCACCAATACTAGGCATTGCTCTAACCATCTTCCTAAATTGTTACCTACCTAAATATGGGGTCGATTGCATAAAATGTGTCCATAATTTATTAATTCACAGGTACCAGCCACTAGTTTATTATATTAATGGAATGAGTTCAGTGTCAATCATGAGCTGCTAAGGTACTAAGGTCCCTCCCTCATGCGCACTGGTGCTGGCTGGGTACAAATACCTGCAGCAAACATTTTCTCACTTACCTACGACTTGCTGGTCTAACAAAATTTTACGTAAACCAAATTTCAAGAAAGAAATGGCAACACTCAAATCACTAGCGACCTAAGGAACCTGGTAGACTTGTAGGACCTCGTAGTTTGTGGCTTCCGCGAGCGTGTAACGAATATTCATAAAGTATTCTATTGTTCGTGGTCAGTTCGGATGCTGCACTGTATCTAGAAATGAATTGATGACGACATGTTTGGCGTCCTCCATACTACAGTTTGTAATGAATGTATTTGGTGGTAGCCAACAGCCTCGCTGCATCATTTTAGAATTATGTATGTGCTTTATAGCCACATTAAGTGACACCACATTAGCAGACCAGAACGCGTAAACATAAATAACGTACCTACCTACTATGTGCATAGTAAAGTCATCGTGCCCAGGAGCTAACGTCAATTTACTAGGGGACAAGTCTCGTGTCTTAGCTAGCGCACACCCTCGCGCGACGTGTGCAGTCTCCACTCCAGACTGTTAGCTATTCGCTGGTCGCTCGCAGTCGCAGTGCTGTGCAAACTGTACACAAACATGTTACTCTGCGCAACCCGACTAGGTATTTATTACATCTTCGCCTGATGTCCTGTTTTCTTTGTTTCTTACCTTTTCGTCCTTGTCCGAGTATTTTGGCCAATATAAAATGTGTTCGTGATATCATGATTACAAATGATTGCTTCGGATGCAATGTCACTTAGTTTATTCAGAACATAGTAGAGGTACATACTTAGGTATATAATATTTTTGCCTAGGTAAAGGGGTACTAATTTAAACGAGAATGTAAATTGACGGGAGAGGGTTGTTGCCGAGTCGCGCGGTCAGGTAGTGTGGGAGCCAGGTCCGCTGGGTGACGGTACGCACCGCGGCCTGCTCTGCGTAGGAAGCGCCCGCGCCGGCCACTGGTTACCATAGCTTGTAGTCGTGTTATGTATGTAATGTCGTTTCCAGGACCACCAGTGGAAGTGGGGGTTACCATGTACGTGCTGTCCATCAGCTCTCTGTCGGAAGTGCAAATGGTACCTAGCTAGCAGTACTATTTAAGTAGTAAGAGGTCACGAGGACACGCGGGCATGCGTCAGCACGTGCGCACGCCGCACCGCACGAGCGCGAGGCCGCCGCGCTCCCGGACTGAACTAGTACTACATGTGGGCTTGCTTGCAGGTCCGCCGGTGGAGGTGGGCGTCACCATGTATGTGCTCTCTATCAGCTCCGTGTCGGAAGTGCTCATGGTACTCGCCCCAGTACTCGCACGCGCCAGCAGCCCCAGACGCGAGGCTGCGAGCATGTCGCGTTTCATGGATCTGTTCGCTTTCGTATTGTTTCCTAGTGATCTTGTCGATGACTGGTAACGCTCGTCTGACTGTGGCATTACTGTTGTGACCGAACTGATACGGATGCACCGCGCGCCGCGCCCGGCTGCCCCTTCCACGCGCCACTCCTCGGCTTCCAGCGGCCAGCAGCCACCAGTGCTGTACCTATTAATGGTGTTTTGACTCGAGCAAACGTTGTCTTCAAATATAAATAATGACTGTATATTTTCTTTGAACTTATGAACTCGCTAATAGACTGCATAGTTGAAACTGTAATAAACCGAAAAAAAACTTATTAACCAAAAAGTCAAAGAATGGATTAGTCCTAGGTGCTTGTTGTATTAGAATGATAACATGGTAACAGTTGCTTGACACAGGGAACAGCCTCAGACTCGGGCTGGTGGCTCGGCGTGTCGCGTCGCCCAGTGACTGATGCGAGGTGTGCTGCCTGCTCACGGAATAGTTTTGCCATTCTGCGATCAATATTGAGCGTGCACCGCGAGCTCGGTTTATTTTTCTCTTCACTCTACCGCCTTCCTACTGCCTTGTAAGTATTCGCCGGTGTGCCGGAGCATTGCGAGCTCTGGGGGCACTCGTCGCTGGAAGTACAACTGCAATAAATTGAAGGGCTTGCGCCCTAACGTAACGCTAACACTGAGTTTGTTCGAGCAGTCGCCGAAGTGGCAGCCGTCAGCGCGCGCCCCTACTAGTTGTCTACCGTATAACGTTAGCACCGATGAAAACATAGAACTTATTCTAAACTTGTACTAGTTTTCCCTCTCTATCTCTGTCTTTGCTAAGTATGTAATTGTGGTGTATCGTTTGTGTAACGTAAGCGACACGCGGCTACTACAACCGCCAAGGACAGCGGCGCGGCCGCAAGCGAGCGCGGCGCCTCACGCGTCCTCGAGACGACGCGCGCACGCTAGCACTGCAGCTGCACCTCGTACACTCACACACACACAGTGCCCGTACCTAGGTACTCACTACACACACTACTACCACTAGCTAGCCTCGCTCGCCGGGGCTGCCTGTGCCGCGAGCCGCCGAGTGCCGCTCTGCGTGACGCCTACTTTAATAGCTCTTCGTGAGTTTCGTGACTTATCGGTTCCGAAGTGAACTAGTTCACCGCTACACATTACATGTTGTACATTACATTGGCACTCTATATTATCATGATGTTTCATTGTTACGAATTATGAGACAAGTCAGAGGGAAGTGAACGGGACCATTTTAAATATTTATCCGTTGTGCTCCAACATTACTGTTCATAATTAATTGAACTAAAAATATTACTTGATCATTTAATCATTATAAATATTAATGGCGCAGTCGATTTGGTTGATTAAGTAACAATTGTCTCCAACCTAATTGGGGAACGAGCAAGCACGAGGAAGGCTGTGTCCTGTCCTGAGCACGCGGCCACACTGTAGGAGCCCGTCACACTCCACCAGAGTCGTAGAACACTCCGCGTGCACCTTTCACTCTTAGTTATCTGAAGCTTGTCGCTCTGTTCTGTGTCCTCGATGTTGTGCAGTGTTATAATTAGTCTAGTTTGTTACAAGTACTTGATGTTGCACCGACTTGTTTCACTGTACATGTATGTTTCTCGTTCGTCGCGTGCCCCCTGCTTCACTACACCTTACCCTCTCTCCCTCAGGACTTCACGTTGGATTTTTACTTCAGACAATTTTGGACAGACCCCCGGCTCGCGTATAAAAAGCGAGCCGGGGTCGAGACGCTCTCGGTCGGCTCTGAGTTCATCCGCAACATCTGGGTGCCCGACACGTTCTTCGTGAACGAGAAGCAGTCGTACTTCCACACCGCCACTACCAGCAACGAGTTTATCCGAATTCATCACTCGGGTTCCATCACACGCAGCATCAGGTGAGTCGGCGCGCTGCGTCGGTGCGAGGTGACGTCCTCCGTACCGGGCACCGCACTCCCCGCTTGCGTGTGTTGCAGGCTCACCATCACCGCGTCGTGCCCCATGAACCTCCAGTACTTCCCCATGGACCGCCAGCTGTGCCACATCGAGATCGAGAGCTGTAAGTGTGCTCGCTAGTTCAGCGTTCAGCGCCCGACTTACTTCACTGTGTCTGAACCGTTTGTTACTACTGCCGTCCTTTGCTGCACGTTGGCAATTGTTTGAGTACCGTCCAATGTGCCTTGACGCTCGAGGCTCGACTACGCGACCGACAGCGAGTATATTATGCAACTACTTATTTGTGTTCTGCATTGTATTAATTACTTTGTAATCTCTTCGTGTAGGGTGAGACGACGGCGACCAGACTAATCGGAATAACATTAAATACTAAAATGTACGAATTATGAAATTTGACAGATTTAAACCCGTCAGAAGCTACCGTCTCACAGATGATAGAAAAATAGTAACGTACTAATACGATAACACCGATGTTCGTGTGTGTGTGTTGTGATCACGGAGCAACCCTCGACCGGCCGCGTGCCGCACGACGCACCGGCTTAGTCGTGTCGCGCTGCTCGCACCGCCCGCGGGCCCTACTGCACTCGCGGGCGCGCACCGGCCGCCACGGCCCGCACCGGTCCGACACCGGCCCGACACCGGCGCGACGGGGCACGGCGCTCACCGCACGCGCCCCATGCCGCACTGCATGCGCTTGTCGCCGCTCCCCGCTACCGCCCGCTACTGCCCGCATGCACCACGCATCCCTCCATCCGCCATCTTCGTAGTACGCACGGTAGTTACGACGGTATTTTTCTATCATCCCGTCGGGTCGACTGTCGCTCGGTCGCCTCGGCGCGACGCTTCGTGGCGCGAGTGATAGCGTTTTGTGTTTGGCATGTCCCCGGAGTCGGATACACGATGACCGACATTCTGTACGTTTGGAAAGACGGCGCGTCGAGTGTCGGCATGAGCAGCGAAGTGCAGCTGCCGCAGTTCCGAGTGCTCGGCCATCGGCAGCGCGCCACCGTCATCACACTCAGTACAGGTAACCGCTCAGTAGTAGCGTCCGCCACGCCCCGCCGCGCCCGCGCCCCGCCCTCGCGACACGACTCCGGCCCGTCCGCGATGCGACACGCGACCGACTCGACCTGCCCGCGCCTTACGCCTCCTATTGCGCCGCAGTCGGCTACACGATGCGGGATATCCGGTACAAATGGAACGAGGGGCCCAACTCGGTGGGCGTGTCTAACGAGGTGTCGCTCCCGCAGTTCAAGGTGTTGGGCCATCGCCAACGCGCCATGGAAATATCTCTGACGACAGGTGCGAACCATTTTCTTAACTTTACACGCCAACTTGATGCCTCTGTGTCTATCCAAAGTTCTTTCAGTGTCGCTGTGTGTCGCGCTAACATTGTTCTATACTCTGCCGTGGGCTACCTCAGGAAACTACTCGCGGTTGGCGTGCGAGATCCAGTTCGTGCGGTCGATGGGCTACTACCTGATCCAGATCTACATCCCGTCCGGCCTGATCGTGATCATATCGTGGGTCTCATTCTGGCTGAACCGCAACGCGACGCCGGCGCGCGTGCAGCTCGGCGTCACCACCGTGCTCACGATGACCACGCTCATGTCTTCCACAAACGCGGCGCTGCCCAAGATCTCCTACGTCAAGTCCATCGACGTCTACCTCGGCACTTGTTTCGTGATGGTGTTCACCAGTCTGCTAGGTGAGACATTTATATTTGTATATCTCAATGATACAACTTTGCTACTATAAGAAACATATCACAAAAGGTACCCACAGAAGATCTTACTAAAACTTATTCTTTCCTAATGGAACGTTTATCACATTTGAATTTCAAATCAAGTTTTATTTCCAAAGTAATGCATCAGTAGTCGGTAGGATATACCTTACTATGCTCGGAAGTCGGAGTCGGAACAGTCCGGTCAAAGAACCCAATAGGAATATAGTATCAAAAGATTCCATATTGTGTGGGTCAAAAGTATTATAATACTAGCTGTTGCCCGCGACTTCGTCCACGTAGAATATGTTTTATCCAATGGGAGCATTTAAACCAAATTCCGTCAAAATCCGTTCAGAAATTACATCGTGAATGACGGACAAACATCCAAATAAAGAACCTTTCACATTTATAATATTATTGCGATTGGATCAAAGTTCAAAATTTCAAGTTTATTGAATTTTTCTCAAAATTGGTAAACTTAAGTTGTACCACAGCTCTTTTTTAATATTCCTGTGAGTTGTACCATAGTGTTATAAATATTAAAATTCTTTCTACGATGTTGTTCTAAGAACCATGTTTTTATAAACAATCACAAACCTACGCACACTTTCACAGTAGGTAGTCATTTCATGATCTAGTCATATTTAATGCTGGTGTATTTTAACGTGGCTTCTTCGGCAACTAGATCTAGGTACCTATAAACAAATTAGTCTAAATTATGTCAATATTCGGATTCGCGAATACGTCAGCGGATGTTTGGATTTGCGAATGTCTAAAATATGACATTCGATCAAACCACGACCAGACCGAATAAATCATTATAACGACGCTTACTATACTATAACCTATAACAAAACCTTATTTCAATGTAAACAACTAAAATGTGTAAGTAGTGGGCAGTGGGCACTACCGCACTACCTAACTAGCTTCTGCCAGCTGCTTCGCCCGCGTCCCCGGGCTAAATGTAACCCCACGTGTTATTCCAAATCAGTCTATCTCTGTAGGTATGTAGGTCGTAGGTAGTCAACATTATCCAAATCCGTACACAAGTGATTGCGGGAAAGAATTATAAACGTACATACTTATACAATACATAAGATCCATGCATCCTAGAAACTTTTGCATTTATAATAATATTAATTCCGTATCCTATATGATGTTGAATGATCTTAGTAATAATGAAATAATAAATTATCTATAAACCACGTCCATGACTTTCAGAGTACGCCACGGTGGGGTACATGTCCAAGCGGATACAGATGAGAAAGCAGAGGTTCGTGGCGATACAAAAGATAATGTCGGAGAAGAAGATGCCGGCGGAGTGCGCGCCGCCGTGGGACGCGCACTCGCTCAGCAAGGCGGGCAGCCTCAGTCGCGGCGCGCCCCCGCCCCCGCGCCACTCGCTGGGCGGCGCGCCCCCGCCGCCGCCGCGCCAGCACGGCTCGCTGCACGGCTCCGTGGACCGCTCCGGGGACCGCTGCCGCCACCTGCAGGAGGTGCGCTACAAGGCGCGCGACCCCAAGGCGCACTCCAAGGGCGCCACGCTCGAGAGCTCGCTCGAGGACAACCCCGCGCCCTCGCTGCACACGCTGCACCCCACCAAGGTGACTCTCCTCGGACCCCAGTCACTTTACTGATCGCTAACGATGTATTCTTTCTGGCCTCAAGAGTAGTATTCGTAATTCCTAGGAGTTCTGTCGGTATGAGACGAGTAAGTGCGAGGTCTACGTGTTGCAGGACTACGGCAAGTTCTTGGGCATGACGCCGTCAGACATCGACAAGTACTCGCGCATCGTGTTCCCGGTGTGCTTCGTGTGCTTCAACCTGATGTACTGGATCGTGTACCTGCACGTGTCCGACGTGGTGGCCGACGACCTGGTGCTGCTGGAGGAGAACAAGTGAAGCCTCGTCCGCACTGTACATACCTCATGTATTATAGAACGCTAGTGTCACGCCCCTCCTACACTCAACTGACGGTCTGAACTTCGTACTTCACATAGACTTAGGAACGCGAGCGACTTGTACAGTTTGTAAATAATAACACCGTAACACTGTGTCGGTGCCCGCGCCCCCCCCTCCCCCCTCCCCCCTCGCTCCCCACTTCCTCGTCCCGCACAGCAGTACACTGCACTGCCTAGTTGTTAAGTGCTTCTCCTTCAACCTCCAAGAACACAAGTCCCGACTCTGGCTGCGACGTACGTACCTTGTGTGTGCTGTTATCAAGGGAGTAGTCGCACGGAGCCGGGATGGGTCCGCCGTGTGAGCCGGACAGACTGTCGCGCCACACAGCCGGCCGCAGCACGCGGGGCGCCGGCGCCGGCCGCGTCGTGTCGTATTCAGAGCATGGTAATGTTAAGTTAATACGTCATAGAGTTTATGATCTAGATCGCAACTGTTAAGTATTGTAAAGTACAGATATTACTAACTAGGTAAGCACGGTAAGGCACACGAGACTATTTTGCATTCACATGCAATTCGTTCGTCTTGTAATAAAGACTAATATACTAAATATGACACTCGTTTTATTTCTACCAGATCACTTTTGTTGTCTGCTATTGATTACCTTACCTATAGAAAATGAACTCGCCATCTGTACAAGTATAATGGTACGCGTAGACTAGCACACAAATTGTGACATGTGATACCAATGTTGATACCAATCTTCCTGATGCCTTCGGCGATGATCTGCTGCCGCTTGAGGAGTTCTTGTTGTTTAGTGTCCATCTATATATATATAATTCAAAGGTGATTGACTGACTGACTGACTGACTGACTGACATAGTGATCTATCAACGCACAGCCCAAACCGCTGGACAGATTGGGCTAAAATTTGGCATACAGATAGATGTTATGACGTAGGCATCCGCTAAGAAAGGATTTTGATAATTTCCACCCCCAAGGGGGTAAAA